TGTTGGCTGCAGCCTGTTTGACTAAGAGGTGGGATTGAACTGATAGCAGAGCAGTGTGTCAAGAAACGTTTTCAGTAAATAGGAATATGATTCAGACCTGTGGTGAGAATGAGGCCACTTAAGAAAATGAAACCAATTATAATTGCTGTTCTTATGACAGTTCAAAAGCTAATATGAGACTGAAGTTGCCTAGAGATATTGTAAACAGGAGGAGTTAAGAATCTTAGTTTTAACTGTTCTCTTATTTAAAAGTGACCTGGAGGAACTGTCTAGGGAAAATGTTGACTTACAGAAATGTCTCCTACAGCTCCCTGAAATTACATGAAAGCAGACGAATAAAGTGCTACAAGATTATTAACCTTTTTCTCATTATAGTTTACCATAATATTCAAAATATTGTTTTGCATGAGAACTGAAGGCATGAATTGAAATTAAGACCCTTTATTTCAGAAAGAGCCATATGTTAACCATCAAAATTTACTGATAGGTTTGTCACTGTTGTCAGCAATCCAGAAGAGGCAGGGGCTGGAAATGCTAAAGAAGTATGTGCTTGAAGATCTGTTAACACTTCCACTTGAAAGGCAATCTGCAAAAAATCATCTGACAGAGCAGGCTCAGACTTCATCAAGGGTGCCTTCCATGGGCCACTTGAAACTCTTGGTCTGTTCTTCTGTTTGTTTGTTAAAAGTATGAAGAATTATATTTTCTGTGGCTTCCTCAAAAACCTCGTGAACTGCCAATAATTGAAGAAGAAGGAACAAGCAAAACAAGCAGACAAGTCACTTATTTTTGCCTGTGTGTAGGTCAGGAGTTTGACTTTCGTGGATGTTAAGATAAGCAAAGCATAAGGAGACAAAGTTTTTCATGCTGCATCTGCTGAGGCCTCATTTCTTTGAAATAAAACATCCTTGTGATGGCTGTCCACAGGATTGCCCAAGAAAAAGGTTAATGCATGGGAGATGAAAATTCCAAAGGGAAAAAAGGGTAGAGCAGCACTTTAAACAGAAGATTCACTGTAGAGTGAAGAATATGGCATTGTTCTTTCCCCTTGTATAGACTGCTGTTAATTTCAAAGGTCCTGTCGTTGTTTTCTCATCCCTCAAAGCTATGGCTTCTTGAAGTGGCCTTAATGACTATTGCAGGTAAACCATTCTCATAAAGATTCATTTTCCTATAGTTGTTTTCAATTATGGAGATTGTTCTGATGCTGCAGTATTTTGACCTCAGGGATGCTTTGCTCTTCATTAATTTTGATGGACACTATGCAGATCTGACCCAGAATTTTAGGGCTGTGATCACTGATTTTAAATAAATATAACACCCAAAGTAGCATATCTGAGACATTTTTACAGATCTGTATTGAAAAGTAAACTTTTAATACTGGTTTGGTTTCTGTGGTTTTTTTTTTTTTCCTCTTTGCTCAGTAATTGAGATTTTATAGACAGGTCAAGGAACTTCCACAGCATTCAGACTCTGTTTTTCTCTGGCAGAAGTGGCTTCTAAGAGAAATATTGTCACTGAGCTGTAGATGTCAGTTGTGCCAATGCACACATAACACTCCCTTTCCACATTGTTTCCCGTGACTCTCAAAGTTGAAAAGCTCTCCAGTTGCTTAGAAAAATCCTACTTGATCTAAAAGCAGTAGATGCCAACTTTCTCTTTATTTCTTGCATGAGGTACGTTTGTTACACTAAGACAATTCAAATATACTCTAAGTGAAACTGAAATAAGCCAAGCATGATTTTATGGATGAAAGCTTCTTACTCAGCAAATGTAATATGATAAACTAACAGCCACTCTGCTGTGCTTTCAAGTATGTTTTGATATATACCTCCTACAGGTTTTTAAACATAAAAAATTGCTATATATGAAGTTCAGCTAACTTGGAAAATTAAAATCAAGGTCTGTCTTTTAAGATAACTGATGTATTACCTAAAGAAGGGGTTTTTTGCATAAAACTTGCCTCAAACCCTGGTGTTCCTGTGCAAGAGCAGCAGAGCTGTAAGTCCACATTCACCCACAAAATACCTAACTCTTTGCAAGGCAAACATACGTTATTTTTATATCTTGACACTTAAGGACATTTCCATTCTAAACCCCACTACAAAGCCTTTTTGTGATATTTGCAAATTTAGAAACATTAAGTAAGAGTATTTACCTCTGAATCTTGTTCTGGTGGCTTTTACCCTTTACACAGGAACTCCTGAGGTTAAGCTTCAGTATAATCCCAAAAACATTTTTCCAGAATATTCCCTAGGCAACGTGTCTTGAATAACATTCCATGAAGTATTTCCTTCATTCCTCCTGCTTCTAATTCTTCTATCGTCCTCCAAGTGTGATCATCCTCAGGAGTGGCAGAGAGAGAAACTGCCTTCTGCAACTGCAGGGGACAGGCAAATTGATTACTTGGTGCCTGGGGAATCTGGTTGTGCCTGTTTGCAAGCCAGCCCTGCTGGGAGGCGGATCCCTCGCAGTGCCCAGAGCAGGAAGTGCCTTGGAGCAGCTCCCCTTAGGAGCTGCGAGTGGAGCACTGCCCAACTTGGAAGCTCAAGTGCAAGTGCAGGCTTTGCTTTCTTCTGCGCCAAAGCATGGAGGGAAAAGGAATTATTGAGGGTAGGTGGATCTGTTCATGGGGGGAAAGAAAAGCCCCTGAAGAATAATGTGTTTTACTACAGAATCTTGAAAATACTTGAAGTCTGTTTAGAAGTTTGACCCGAAGTCTGAAGTGGGCAGGGGTGTTCAGCAGTAGATGGACCTCAGCAAAACCACTTCAGTTCCTGGGGAGAATAGGCAGAGACAGCTGCTTTTCCAGGTACAGCACCTCAGACATGTTTTTGTCAGTATTGCTGCAGAGAAAGTGGAAGCTAATCGACCAGAAAGACAAATATGACACCTTTTGAGGTGTTGGAGGTTGAAAATCAGCAGCTACTGCGAGCTGTGGGATGTGAGTGTCGAACTGCCACTGAGCTCTGCAGCTTTACCAGCATTTCATTCTGCTTCAGCTGTGCTTTGTAGGCTGTGCACAGCAAAAATAGTGCAAATAGTGCAGTTATTTAATCTTCAGGTGAGAGAGGAATGGGCTGTGGCAACAAACACTGCTCAGAAATATTTCCTTCAATTAGCTCTAGATGAATTGACAGCACTGCTGAGGAATGCTTTTTGACACTAAGAGGCAGCACAGTAAGATTTTCAGACTGTAACAAAATAGGTTATGTGGGGGAGAAAAAAAGTGGAGGTAATTTTTTTCCAGTCTTTTAATTACTTTATTGCATTGCATCTCAGTTTTTTCCTGGTCTAGCTTTGGTTTCATAGCTAAATACTGAGAGGACAAGTCTTGCTCTAGCTGGTTGGTGAAAAGAAGCAGTGCCAGAGTATTATAAACATATTGAAAATATCACAGGTTCTGTATATGCATTGAGCAGCAGTTTGGGAATCCCTGCACTAAATCATACAAAGCAATGTAGAAGTTCTCTCTTTAAGAAGTGGGAATTCATTATCAAGGAAGGGCAGGGAAGAGTTTTATGCTCTTACCAGTTCTGCAGACCAAACAAGCAATGTTCTGATTATCAGTAGGACTAGGGATTTTAGTCCCCAGGATGATGATAAATAAGTGAATGGTTTGAATGGTTTGGACCATAAACAGTTAAGAATGGTGAAGATTGAGAGGGACTTGACATTTGAGAAGCTGCTTTTCTATGGTCTCCTTCATAAGCAAATTCTTCTTGAAAAGGAAGATGAAAGATTAGATAATGAATCCAAGCTCATGAGGGTAATGGTGTCAAGGAATGTGGGGTCTTGGGCTGTAGATGCAACACAGCTTTTTTTCTAATGTTTTTGATGCTGAAAAATCTCTTGGGAGTAAAATAATTAAGAATTGCAGCTCTCATACTGGAATTCTGGAGAATAGGGACAAAGAAGGTCTTAGATCAAACTGAAGTGCTGACAAGTTCTGGTAACTATGGAGTGAATTCCTACCACTGTTCCTTCCCAGCAAGGAATTAACATAAATTCAAAGTACAAGCTTTGGCCTAAGTTCCCTAAAAGCATTTGAGTTCCTGATAATCACTTGGGATTTCAGGAGGAAAGCTATGATGTCTGGTTCCAAAACCTGAGCTCATGGAAGCCAAATATTTGTCTTCTTATCCAGAAAATTGAATTGGAGTTCTCATGTCATTGAAACGTTGCTAAATTTCAGAGGAACATTATTTTAGTGGAATTCTTTTATTAGCAAGAAACAAGTACAAATTTCATATTTTCTAATGCTGTGCAGCACTCTAGCTCGGATTGTTAATGTTGTAGAAAGTGCAAAATAAGGTTGGATTGTAATTTTATACTCCTAAATGAATGTCTGTCTTCTAGAGTCCTGTTTCCTACCATATATAAGTGACACGACAATGATCTTCATCTTACAGAATGCTTATTTTGTGAGTCATGTGGGAGTCTTTTGCTTTCCTCTGTTTAATAAAATACGGTTTTTAGAGCCATTCATGCAAGTTCCTCCCTCTATACTTTAAGTTTTACTCAGGAAGAGCAAGTTCAAAACACTGTTAGGCATCATCTGCCTGCTGGGTAGCAGGCAGAGCTGAGATGATCCTGAAGCACTTTTAAAGAGGGAAATGCTCATGGCTTGGGAAGTTGCAAAGCTGTGACTTTCATCCAGAGGCTCCAACAGATTATCCTGTGTTGATTTAGATGTAAAGCAGGATGGTCTTTTATGTCCATTTTCTTAACTGTAAATATGACTGCTTTCTCTAGAAATAATATTAATGTATTGCTAAGCACCTTGGTGATTATCTAACATTAGTATCTGATGAAAATGGTGTATAGACTAACATGCTTATTGGGTAGAAGAAATAATTAAAGCTGAAACAAGGAATTTCATCTTTTCTTTCTCAGTCTTCCCCTTCTTCTTCCTAGCTTTGTCACAAACAGAGCTTTTGGAGATGGGAGAGCCTCTCTTGTGGCAGGATGCTGAATGTTTCTTTTGATCTTCCCTCTAGGCTGGCAAATAAGCAGGACAGAGAAGGAGCTCTGTCAGAGGCAGATGTAATCGAGTCCTTATCTCTGGAAAGGCTGGTTAATGAACACAAGTGTCTCTGTCAAATTGTAAGTAGATGTCAAGATGCTGTATTTTCTCATATCTGTGTAAAGCTTCCATTAAGGTAGGAAATTAGGCTATGTGGCATACAGCTGAAATTTAGATATAATATTCATTGTCCTGTTAAGAAAAAAACCTAGCAGGAAGTCATTGTGGGGAGAGCCAAAACCAGAAATCTTTAAGAAAGCTGCTTAATATTGGCCAATATTTCAGATAATAGATCCAAATTAGTAGTCCCTGAAGTTTTTCTTTAGGCCTTTGTTTTAATCTCCCAGTGTCTTAGATAGGGCTTTACTTCCACAATCTTTTTCTGATGGCAATAAAAAACATTTTGAAAGATAATGAGGGTTATGGTGTTACTAACCAAGATAAAAAGTAGTTTTGCAAAACCATTTAAGCTTTGGGTTTTAAAATTTAAAAATAATTTTAATTCATTAGGGAGATTTGCAAAATTTATAGAGCACTACATATTATTTTCTCTAATAGCTGAGTTAGAGCAGGGCATAGCTCCGTTTATTATGTCATGATCATTTGAGTGCTTTCCTTCAGTTAGTGCTCTTTGCACTATGCACATACAGCAGTCATAAAAATAAAAATTGCAAGTTCATCCTTGGTTTTTTTTTTGCAAGGAGCTTCTGTACCAAAAATATTTTCTTGAAAAATATTCAGTAAAAAAGACCTGAAAGATACTAGATTCCAATGCATTTGAATTACTTAATTTTTGATATGCTGTTCTTGTTGTTTATTTATCTTTTGTGTGTAATTAGGAAAGACACCAGATCACACACTCCTAAGACTGTTTCATACTCTAATGGACACCTTCTTTACCAGGCTCTTCAAAGATAAACATGGCCCCAAATTCCTTCAGTAGGATGACTCCTGGGGTCAGTTTAAACAGAGGCATTGTGAAACAAGACAGAAAGTTAGTCAAGGACCAAAAAACCTTTTGGTTTCTTTTTATTCTTGTAGTTAGTTTTCCACTGGATCTTTAAATTTCCCCACAAAGTATGAAAGCAAATGGAAGGAGTAATTTGTCTTGCTCTTGGACAGTGTCAGTGAGAATGACCTTCCTCTTTTTCTTATTTTAATATGTCTGTAGATTCCATATTTCTAAATTTTTATATTTTGTAACCAAACTTCAGCAACAATAATAGTGGTGCAAGTTGAGAAGAGCATTTCCCTAGTGCTGGCCAGTGTTTGATCTCAGTTTTCTCAGAGAAACAAGTTGTATACATCTTCTACACATCTCCTTCCTGAGCAGGTAGGGTACTGCAGGGCTCCATAGTGAAAAGGACTCATATTTGAACTGTAATTTAAACATAACTGATTGGTTTTTTCTGTTGTAAATGGTACATTCCATATCTGATTCTGGTGTCATTTAAATTCTTGTCAGATGGAGACAGCACTGAGAGTTTTTCAGCTGTTGGCATTGGAGAGTCTCTTTTAATCTTCATAAACACAAATCCTGAACACGATCAGTGTGAATTGTCATACACAGAGCTGTTCTATTCAGTTGTTATTCTGAGAATGTTTTAAAAGACACATACAGTGCTCCAAAACATTTTGAAAGCAGTTCCCAGGAGAACTTGAGAGAACATCTTTCCCATGTTTGAAGCTTGAATCAAGCCTTGCCTTGTTTTTCCCAATTAAAGCCTATTTTACTTGTCCTCCTGACATGAAAAATTAGAAACAAATTATTATTTTCCTATTTGCAGTTTTGCCTCATGTTTTTGAAGGCTATTATCCTGTCTCCCTGAAGTGCTTTAATCTCAAGAGAGGCACTCTTGGTCCTTCAGTTTTTTCTTACCAGATGTGTTTTCAGAACTATTTTCTCAATGAGGTTTGCATTTCTCTTTCAACAGATTTGTCTGGATCATGTTTCTCTCACTTGCTGCTGAGAGTATAATGACAAAAAGTTTTATTCCAATCGAGGTGCAGTGCCTGTTCTGATGTAAAAAATTGGTTTGACAGCTTTTCTGACAAATTCACAGGAGATTTTCTTTACCCCCGAGGTGCTTATGAACATGTTGAACTTTTTTTCATGAACTGAGGCATAGCTGATTCTCTTTCATCTCAGATTTTTCCATTTTGATTGATAAATCTAGCATGGACTATTTATAACCCATAATTCTCAGTGTTTTACAAGCTTCACAGTCAACAGTAATTGTTCAGCTAATTTCTTGTCTCCAGTCAAGGAATGTGGTCTGAACTGCAAATTTTTCCCTCCTTTTCCATATATTTACAGGAGCCTTGCTCAGCCATCATGGGCTGTGGGAAAAAAATTGACAAATCAATCAAAAAGGGATTATTTTGGCTTCTCCATATCATAGCAAAAGATTTTGATGCCTTAAGTGAGCGCATCCAGAGAGACACAACAGAGCAAAAAGCACTTGAGGAGCAGAAGAAACTGGAACGGGCTGAGCGAGTCAGGAGGATACGGGAGCAGAGGTATTTTCCTGTGATCCTTACTCCATCCCTTCCTCCCCTCTCTGAGATATTTGGGTCATTCCTGTGCATAGATCTTATGGGAATCAGGCTATCCAGGATTTAAAGCTTACAAGAGTAGTTCTTGAAGTTTTTGCCTCTTCATCCCCTTTATTTGATTTGCTGCATGCTGGAAATGCACTTTGAATGAGAATTGCGAGATAGTTGTGGGATAAATTTGGCCTTACTAATATAACTTCACAGAAGGCTGACCTAAAAAATAATTCCTGTCATTTAATCTGAAGTTACCTTCAAAAATAAAGTATTAAGTTAGACTCTCTAACCCATATGTGAATATCAAAGACTAAATATGAAAATGTATTCAATACTATGCTTAATAAACTTCAGGATATCCAGCAGGTGAGGCATGAAGGAACTAAAGATGATGCAGTGAGGGAAAGCAGGATAACTGATTTATCACTCCCCTTCAAATCCCTTTCTGGTCTTTAGCACCCTGCTGTGGTGCCTGTGAAGATGTGAATCATTACTGGGGCATTCTTAAAATATTTGCTGAGCACCCCTGTCCTCTCCTCTACCTTATATTGGCAGAGAATTTTGAGTCTCAGTTACTGTGAGAAGTAGCTGGGAAGTATCTTAGACTATATTCTGGCTGTTTTGGTTTAAATAAGCAAGTAAATTACTAAAGTACCTTTTAAACAGCTGCAACTTGACATGGTCTTCATATATATTTCACAAATTTCTAAAAACTTGGTTTGCTCCTAATCTGCTACAACTCTCTGCACACACAAAACCTCCTGACCATATTGGATTGTGTTGGGTTTATGCCACACTGAGAGGTGTAGTGAGGAGGGCTGACATTGTTCTCTATAAAATTTATGGCTTCTTCATAAATCTTTATTCATTCTCCCTCTTTCCCCTTCCCTTGCCCCCAAAAAACACCCGCAAAACCAAACACCAAAACCACTGAAACAACACAAACCCAACAACAATGCCAAAGGGAAAAAGAAGAAGGAAATGCACCTGAGGAGGAAGAGCCTGAGCCTGGGAAATGTGAAAACCCCTTCCAGCCTATAGCTGCTGTAATCTCTGAGGTAGGAGAACGTGTGGAAGTCTAGGTCTGTTGAGAAATGCACTAACAAATGTCTGAGTGGCAATGAGAAAAATGGTCATTTGAAAGAGTTCTAATTCTTCAGCACTTCTTTATTTCCTACTTTAATCTTGGCAGCCTTGTTTTCTGTGCATTGAATCAATGTTTTCATGATAAGAAAACCCATGTTATTGATTGGGGAACAAAAGTTTTGTAGACACAGTAAAATAAATGTAAACACATTACTGAAAACATTTCCTAATTAAACTGCTGGGATTCAGAAGTGGAAAATATTCAAGGTCTATTAATTTATTCTAAGGAGTTTTAGTGATGTGGTGAGCCATATCAAATCTTCCTGTCTTCTTCAGTTATTCAGATTTGTGAGCATAACCTCTTTTCAGTTAAAAATAGACTCTTGAGAATTTTTTATTAATTTTGAAATATGAAAATCACGTTCATTATAAAGTTTCCTTAACCTACATTTCTGAGTTCATATTTTTTTTTAATTCAGTTGCCTGGAGATAACACAATCTAAAGAAACACGTAAACTTTTCCAGCAAGTAATTCAAACATTTGCTTTTTTCCAAGACAAAAGCACTCATATCCACAGAACATGTCAAGGCAGCTTCATGCACAATAATCCATTTAGCAATAACATCAAAAGCAAGAAAATAAAAGTGCAGCTGTGAATATTGCAGAGATGGTGATTTAGTGACACAGAATTGTGAAGCAGCCTGCTGTTGAGGTTGTATGCCACAATAGGTATTTATCCAAACTGGGATAGCATTTTCTGTAGGCTTAGGCTCTGTACATCTGTATTTTTTTTTAAGTAACACATTAAAAAAGTAATTGAGGAGAAAGAAAGTAGAAGGTTGTTTTGTTTTGGTGGGTTTTTTTTTGGTTTTTTTTTTTTTTTTTAATAGGACCAAAAATAAAACAAGAAAACAGGCAATAAATCTAAAGATCCTTTTGTTTTATAATTTCCTCTCCCTTTATCTGGATAGGATATTGGAAATTTAATTTCTTCATCTATTTGAAAATAAATTCTATGCTAAATGTAAGATATTTGGAGAATATTTTCATTTTTAATAACCTTTCTGTCCTACTAGTCAGTTTACAGCATTAGCAGTAATTTTAAAATATTCTTGTCCTTTTTGTTAGAATGAAAAACAGCTGGAAAAGGAAAAGAAGAGACAAAAGTTGGAGACTGAAAAGGCTACAATTGCCTTGAAATCCCAAGCAGAGCAGGACCACTTATCAAGTAGCAGTAGCCAAAACACAAATGACAGCAGGCAGGAAAGGTGCAACTCTACAACTGCCCAGCTTTTGCAGCATGCAGAAGAGAGTGACCAACAAGCCTCAGAATGCCTTGACTCAGGTAAAACTGCTGCCTTTTAAACCATTTCATGTGATTTTTCATATGCTTCTTCTGTCCATGTTATTTGTCATGATTCCACATACCAATGTCACCTGTTGGAAACACAAAAATGCAGGAGTAGGTTATATAAGTTGAATTTCTTCATGGAAACATGGAGTTTTCATATCTTTTATGCCCACAGCTTATTTTCTATAGTAAAATGTTGTGTGACTTATATTTCCCATGATTTTATGTGCACAGTTCATTTTCTATAGCAAAATAGATGTTGTGTGATTTAACATTTCCCATAATTTTATGTCTAAGTCTGGACTGAAAGCTCTGATGTGTCTCCCCAACAATTGTATTAGAATCTGATGTAGGATATTACCTGAATATAACTGTAGGATATGTAATTTTTTTTTTTCCTGTTGGATGTAGATAACAACAAGAAAAAAAGTAAAAAACCCAAATTAAAAAGGGGCCACAGAGTAGAACCTGTTAATACAGAGGAATCTCTTCCCAAGAATCCTACACCACCAGCAGCCCTTCCACCAGGTAAGTGTAAAAACAGTAATTGATGTCTCAATTTGTGGTTGGTAATCCTTTAAAAGTCTCACTTGTGAATGATGAAACTGGGCTGGTTTTCATACAGAGAGGAGCTACTAAATCTTCCTCTCTAGAAAATCTTTAATGCAGTTTCCCACTTCATGATATGAACTTCCAGCAGTATTAATTTGGCCTATTACATGGGGAAAACAAAATTTTCCCAAAAAAAAGAGCTAGAAACTTGATTACTCATTGAAGTGATTCAAAATATCAATACTTTTAAGGTTAATCAGTTTATTTTTGAAGTATTTCATCGTTCTTCACCATGGATGCAATGTAGTGCATAGCTTGGGCATTTCTAAATGCTTTGATTTCTCCCAAGGAGATGTGGGGTCTGTACAGCTCAGAATAATCCTGTGCAGTCGTGGAATGCTCTGACAGTTTTTGTTTTCCTGTAGTTGGATGGGGAACTCCCAAACTTAATAGACTTGGAAAACTTGAGCCTCTTGGTGAAACACATCATCCTGGTAATTGAAAGTATTTGGAGCTTTGTACCTTTTTAAACCATTGTCCATTCACTTCTACATTCACTTCATTCTTTGTCTGTTTTTCATTTCTAAATTCCAATTTTCATTGACCAAAAGCTTTCCCTTTTGCTTAGTAGAAAGCATCTTTTTGATTTTTTTCAAGTCTGATTTTTTTATTAGGAAAAACAATGAGTTCTCTCCAATTTCCTCATGAAGTTTTAAAGTGGCATGGGATATCAGAAGTTGTTAATGATCTGAAGTTATTTGCACCTAAAAATTAGAAAGTGATATATTGCAAAGAGTAATGGGGCCAGTTACTTGAGTCCAAATTCATACTGCTTTTAAAATGAAAAAAATTAACTGGAAATATCAAGATGCAGTAGACAGTCTTGATTTCTTGCTTCAATAATGACTTATTTTCTATTTTTGGAAGATTGTGGAAGACTTTTTCATGTGTTGACATTACATTTTTTTCCTGAGTTTGAGATGGTAGTTTCTTCATTTTTCTTACATTTTTATTTTTCAAATTTTGAAAAGTGAATTTGGAGACATCTGGAACACAAAACCAAGGAGCTTTTCTGCCAGGGAACCAAAAGATGCCTGAAGGGGAAATAAGATTTCTAAACCCAAAATATTTATTTCTCACAGGAAGGAAATTCATGTGCTTAAAATGTGATTTGTAATGTTGATCCTAAACACATCTTGCTCTTTTTTTTTAAAGGCAAATAGAGAGAAGGTGACAAGAAAGGAAAGCCAGATGAAGAGGTAGGGAGGGGAAGAAAAGGAACTCAATTTTTATCTGTGCCTAATGGAGGTGTTGCATTCTGTAGGAAGAGCATGGGTGGAACAAAGAGGGAAAAACCTGCTTAAGCTAGGTGCTAAATTGTAAAATTATTATTAAATAATTTTGGAAGCTGAAAATGGCAAATATGTTGGTAGGGAAATTATCTCTTGACCAGAGGTGTAAGAGCAAACTTGAAGTACTCAGAATTTATAGCTGAATTTAAGGCATTGTCTGCTCTTTGGGAGATTTATCTTTTTTCCAGGAATTTTGAACCACTCACAAGATTCACACTTGCAAATTCTAGCAAGAAAATTGAAATTAGGAAAGCACTATTTATAAATGAAGAAAGTTCTTCACATTCATAGCCCACCACTGTCAAACCTTTAGTTAGGTCCTGATCTCCAAAAATATCATTTATTTCTTTCTTTTGCTTAAAGCAGCTGTGGGATTTTAACTCTGTCAATTTGAGATCCACAGAATCAGAGAATTATTGAGATTGGGAAGGACCCTTAAGATCCTTGAGTTCCACTGTTACCCCAGCACTGCCAAGTCCATCTTGCACTGATTTAATTTCCCACCTGGCCCTGCCCATTTTCTCTCACACAACAATGTTTTTCAATGAATTCTTACGTACTTTGCACAGTCAGAACCTGCTCCTCACTGGAAACTCAGAGTTTCCCTAAGACCAGTGGATCCTGCCTTGGATTCTTTTTTTACAATAATTGCATCTTTCTGAACATCAGCTTATTTTTGGTTGTCCCTTCAGCAGAAAAATAAATCAGTGTTGGGTTTTTTTTCATTCCCTCGCCTTTGCCCAAAATTCAGAGGTGGGTTCAAAAGTTTTTTCAGACATTCAAACTTTGTAATTACACACTTATATTCACTGAAGACTGCAATTTTTCCAGTCATGCTAATAATTTTGGCACAACATGAGGTGATGAGTGCCTGTTTATTGTCAGTGAGGAGGATACATTTACAAAAATGTTAAACTTCTTTCATTATAGGAGGCAAAATTCTCTGCCAGTCCTAAAGTGCTCTGCCAGACCTCAAAAAATGCATGAATAAAAATCCAATGGACAGATTTTCATTGACCTTTGAATCATGTGTTGCAGTTTTCTTGCTGCTGTAATTAGTGCTATTGAAATCAAAATATTTATGACAATAACATAAAAGTGTTCTCATTTTGCTAACTAAATGCAAAGTTAATTAAAACCTCAGTCCTACAGACAGGTCCACATATTCTTCAAGCAGGGTAGCCCAATTTGTTTGCTTTTGTTAATCTTAGCTCAGGAATGCAATTTTAACAGAAGTTATTGCATCTGCAGGACAAGTGGGATATATTCTTCTTGGAAAATGATGATTTATTAAAGCTGAATTTTGTGTTGGCAGGCCATCAAGGCTTTCTTGGGGAAGAGGTGGTCTGTATAAACAGAACTGAGATTTGAATGCTTCAAAAAGCTGCTTTTCTTTTTTCTTGATTTCTACCTTCTTCCTCTTACCATGTTCCATATTTTTTTGTTTGTGCAGTGCTTTGCATGTTCCAGTCTGCATGGGTTTTTTATTTTATATCCATTACAAATGTTTGAGAACATGTGTTACTCTCTTCTGATGTACTTATTAACTTTGTCTTGTACAATTTTGCCATTTTAAATTCCTTTATTGACAGAAGGAAATGCTGCAGTTTTATCTAAAAATTCTGAAATAGTTGTTTTAGAAAATTATTTTAGCTTGGAAGATAAATGCCATGCATAAATGGTCCCAAAATTTTGGATTCTGCTCAGTACTACTGTAATTTAAAACTATATTGCAGTGCAGTCTTGAATACAACAACATACAAATTTCATTGTTTCATTTTTTCAGTTGTTATTGTACACTTTGAAGTTCTCCTTTCCTATTTTTAGGGATGTTTACAGATCCCCTTTGGGCTTGATCTTGCAAATGCTGATGCATGTATAACAAAATGTAATTAAACCCTCGTTTGGCCAATCCATCTCTAGACATTAATTAGCACTAGGTCTGAAAGTTTGCTTGGAGGAATTAGCTCTAAACTCCTAGAATACCTGGCTTTCATTATGGAAGTAAGAATTTAGTAAATATTCTTTGAGCCAGGAAGGTGGTAGGTGACAGATTGATGTGTTCTTCTGCTCTGGAATTTCTTCCACAGATTTCTATGGAAAGCCTCTGCCCCCGCTGACTCTACGCCAAAGACCCAACAGTGATACCCATGATGTCATTGCTTAACTGGAGCACAAAGAGAATTTTAAAAAACATAAATTAAGAATCCTATCTTTTTTTTTTTTTTTTACCCTTGAAGGAAAATTTTTTGTGTGACATTTTATCAGCATGTGACAACTAAACATGGAATTCATCCTGTTGTGCTTAATGGTCAGACTTTGTAATTTACTTTTCACATCACCAGCTCTTCTTCAGGATTTATTTGGTTTACTTGTGAAAAGACATGGCTGTAAACCTGAAGAAAAACACCTTCAAGATCCCATAATACTGGATTGTACATTCCCACCGAGACCTTTCTCCAGGTGCTGTGCAGGTGTTGGTATTTTTTCAGGGAATAAATTATTCTAAAGCATTTTGTAAGATTCCTGTATGATAGGGTGAATATAGAAAGGTTAAACAAATATTGAATATATTTTTCTACCTTTTTATAAAATTAGTTGAAATTTTTGAGTGGAGCTGTGTTCCTACTACCAATAAAATGATATGTAGGGAGCATTAGAAAGCTGATAGTCAAGTGCACAAAAACAAAGTGTGTTTGACTCTTACACTTCTCTTACAGTACCAATACCTTTTCTTAGGTAGTATTTACATATTTCATATTACTGGCAATCTGAAGCAGAGGGTACAATAAGAAAATTTAAAATAAATACATTTTATACAAAATAATGCTATTTGAACTGTCTGGAAGTTTTCTTATCAGTTGTTTTCTTTGTTTTGTTATCTGAGTTTGACATAGGTAATAAATATTGTGGGAAAAAAATAGAGTTGAATACTGTATTGTCTACTACAACAAACGAGAAAATTCACAGAGTGGGAAATTTGCACTAATCAAATCATCAGGTTTGATGGGAAACTGAATCAACCAGTATGCAGATGATCTCCCTCAGTTTTTAATCTCAATAATACTAAAATATCATCTTGCAAACTGAAGAAACCCTGGGTTTTTAAGGATTTCTTTAACATTTCCATATAATGTGTTGAAAATCACATACAAGTGATACCTAAACAAGAAGGGTTACAATTTGTTATATTCCTGTTTAAATGTTTTTACTGTTCCATTGGAGACAACCAGTGGTGTATTTGTAAAGGTTCATTGTTCTGCCACTTAATGACAGACAGGATGAAGCTCTTGTTCAGGGTTTTTTTGGGGAAGCAGTATTTGGTAATTTTATATTATGGTCTGTTGTCAATAATGCAGTTTTACCAAAGGAGTTGAGATGTTGAAACAATGTGGTGTGTTACATGTTCAGCACTTTGATATTGGAAATCCTTGCCATGCACCCCTTGCAGCAAGGAGCTGCACAAACATCTGCCATATGAAAATGAAATAATACAGATTTTTAAAGAGTGAGATGGAATCAGTCTTAAGGATACTAAGTTTGGAATAGGTGGAGAGGTTTATTCCTCTTTGTTTGCTGATTTAGGGAAAGGAGGAAACAATTTCTATGTGACCACCAGCATGAGAATACTTCTCTTGTATTCTAATACTGGAACATGATTCAGTTGAATTTTTCTCAGGATTTGGTCATTTTCCCTTCAGACAACACAATACTAAGTGGAGGGGAGGTTGCACAAAAATGTGTATGTGCAATCTCAACTTTACTAACACTAGCTGTTACCACTTAAGTTTTTGGCTTAAAGGCTCTACTTTTGCAGACTTACTTTTTTACAGCTCCAATTTCTAGGAATGTATTACACTTTTGTTTTCCCTCTTTCCTAAAATAAATCATGGAAGTCTTTATTAAAAAGAAAGCTAAATACTGCTGTGGTAACAAATTTGAGAAACTAAAGTGTTGATGCTTATATATGAACTGTGTGTTCTGTGTGTTGTGTGTGTGGACATATGTATCATTTTTGATTATTGCTTTTAAAATAAATTTTACCAGTATGTGACCAAAGTACTCAAAAATGTTTTATAAGTTTTTGTTTTATTAATATGCTTTGTAATTATTTACTATGCTGGTTTTTTTTTTTCAGTAATTTATACTGCTATGACTTTTTATTTGCTGAAGATGACATTTATGTATAGAATAAAACTAATGCAAACCATCAACATGTTTCCTGTATTTACAATTTTTTGGAAATAAGTCTAGTCTATAAATATTTAAGGGCTGCAAGTCTCACTTATATTTCTAAAATGAATGAAATAGAGTTCTCATAGACAGAATCTTTGCATATTTTTGCAGGGGAAATGTGATCAAATTTAGAATATACTGATAAGATTGGCAATAAGTTGAGTGTATATGTATACCTATAAAGAGCTTTGATAGTGCACCTAATATTTGAGAGATAAATGTTGTGCAGCTCTAAATTGAGAGCACAGATTAGATTTTGCCAGACTTTTTGTCATCCGTGTCATCACTTCTGATATGTATCAGTGCATGCAGCTAAGAGTATTTGTATTTAAATACAGGAGTGGTAAGAACACAGAAATTCACTATTTAAGCAGAACATTTTGCATTATCTATGTGTAACGTCTTGAATACAATTTACACAAAATATTTTAAAGGTAAGTTAAGAGTGTCTTCTAAGAAGGAATAGTAATGTTCATTAATTGAATTAATGTGAGAGACTCAGTGCTTCAAAATAAGTTGTTCAGTTGTCTTCTCTTTTAGTTACATCTTAGAATCCACAGAAAGACCTTACTCATAGATTTCAAGATTTTTACATCAAAATTATTAAAAATGGACGTATTTGGTATCCATTAGGTCTCTGGTGTGAGATTGGAAAGGATTGATGGACCATAACAAGGTAAACAACATTGATTCTTTTTTTTCCCCCTTTAAATAAGATTCAAGGAGTCTTTTTTTCAGTAATATATTCCAGTATTTTAGTGGGAGGTTTAGTACTGTAACATCAGGATGCTGCCCAATAACTTTGCCATCATGTTAGCTTCTTGGCTCCTGGGATTCATTCCATTTGAAATACTTTACTATTTTGAATAGAACATACCCACCAGTATTACATTTGTAAATGGAATAAGTAATGGAGCCTGCTGTAAGCATAATTTGAGGTATGTTTATCTGCAGTAGCACATGAGAGAGACACAAGATGCATTGCTGCTGTTTGCAGTTTGGCTGTGATGGTGGTGGTGCTGATGAACAGGAGTCCTGTCTTTGCTTTGGTGCAAATCTGGTTTCAGACACACGACACTATCTGTCATATAGTGGAATATAGCCATAGATTTAGGGGAAGGGGACTCATTCAGCAGACCTTTTTGTTGTACTGTTACAGTAAAACTCAACTCTTGTGTACATTTTCTGGTATGGTACTGGCCTTAGCAGAATTACTAACACAGAGAACTACTTTTTATACTAGTTTTGTTCTGTATCTGTTGGTAAAACTCACTTATCAAAAAGCCTTTCAAGTTTCCTTCACATTTGATATCTAAGAGGTCTCCATTTTGCCTCCAGGCCCTTTGTCACAACTCTGATAGAAGCATTCTAAATCAGCTTTCAAGCCAATCTGCATGAGGTGAGTAAAAGCACTTAGTCTTCATTAGCTGGTGCCTGAAACTCAAATATTTATCCATACAACAGCACTCCTGCCTTTACCTTTGCACCCCTTTCCAGTCTCAATTTCAGAGGCTGGGTTCAGCCTGAAGAAGCTTTAATTAAAAACCACTCTTAAACAAGTCTGCTGCTTCCACAGGGCTTGATCTTAGCAAGAGAGTTGGCAAATGGGCACAAAAGGGGATTTGTTTTGTTTTGCTAGGACACAGTGACTGCAGGATGCCCTTCCTTGGAGGAGCAGTTTGCAGGTCTCAGTGAAGAGATCAGATGAGAGCAGCCACTGATTTTAGTGCTGCTAAACCAGGGACAGCTGAACTGGGGTACAGCGGTCCTCCTGATTCCTGTCCCTGGAGAATGTTTGATCTGAAAATGTGTGAGAGAGATGTCTGTGAATAATTAATTCTCAAGCCTCCAGCAGTTTTTTATGGCAGTACCAGTGGTTTAGGCTGGAGCTGATCTCTGGTGTGGTTCAGGCAACCTGAGTAGCGCTTCCAAAGCCCGGCCAGATAGGAAAAAAGGTACAAGCAGAGACCTGATGTCTGGGGGGATGTAGATGCTATCAGACCCTCCAGCAGGTGCTGGGATGAGGATCACTGCTGTAAATTGTTTAAGTGAGAGCTCAGATGCTTTCTAATCCTGGTTTGGCTCTGGTGGGGCAGAGGAGTCGGGACGGCAAGTCAGCCTTCGATGGTAAAAAACAAAAAAAACCAGGCAGATAAAAATTGAGGTGGGTTTTTGTTTGTTTGGGTTTTTTGGGGTTTCTTTTTGATTGGTTGGGTTTTTTTTAACTGTGGGGTTTTTTTTTGTTTTGTTTCTTTTTTTAACTGATACGGGAACGAGTTGGTTGGGTTTTTTTAACTGTGGGGGTTTTTTTGTTTTGTTTCTCTTTTTAACTGATACGGGAACGAGGTGCCCAAGGAAGTGGTGGGATGCCTCAACCGCGGCACCGTCCAAAGCCAGCCTCCATGGGACCCTGAGCATCCTCCAGGGGGTTGTGTCCCCACCCCTCGCCGAGGGGTTGGGACCAGCTGATCTTTAAGGTCCGTTCCTGCCCCTTTACGTTCTGCGGTGCTGCGAAGAGCCCCGATTCCCGGCAGCGGCGGGGCCGAGCGCGGGGGCCGGGCCGCGGCCGCCCCGCCCCGGGCAGCTCGGGCCATGCGGGCCCCGGCGCTGCCGCTCGCCCGCCGTGCTGGGGCCGCGCTGGGGCTGGGCCGGGCGGCCGGGCGAGACCCGGGGCAGGTGAGAAGGGGCTGCGGCTGGAGCCAGAGCCGGAGCCAGAGCCAGGGCAGGCGAGCCGAGGCGGGGGCCGGAAGCGCGGCGGGAGGGCCGCGGCCGCTTCCTGCGCGGCCGTGTGGGGAATAGCCGGGAGAGAGCCCGCTCGTCCCGTCTGCGCTGCCCGCGTCCCTCCTCCGCAGCGCCCGGTGTGCCCCGCGTTTGTGCACCCACTGCCGGCAGCTGCTCCGGCACTGACAGAGCATTCCCGGCCCCACAGCCCGCCCCGTGCCCGCGCTCCGTCCCGGTGTTGTTTTGGGAAGGAGCGCGGTGGGCTGGATGGCTGCTGGGTGCCCCGAGGGAGGGAAACTCAGCGTTTGCCCTCGGGGTTTGCTTAGAAAGCAAAAGCTCTTTCCCGTCTTCTCGTAGGTAAATCTCCATCAGAGTGCCAGGAAGCACTGGATTATCAGCACAGTGGATATGGAGGGTATTTATTAACCAGCCGAGCGGGGAGGAAGAGTGTGCTGTAGTTTAACTCCTGTGCTCTCTGCAATGTCTATTACATCTTGATCGCCTAAAGATGAGGTCTAATATTTGAGCATTCTAATATCACTGATACCAAGCTGATGTAATTAGCAGGATGTTTTTTATTCATTCTAGTGAGAACTAAAGTAGGTTTAGTTTGGCTTTACTGCTTTTCTTTTTTCTTCCTTCCTCTGAAGCTGGGAAAGAAACCCACAGGGAAGCTCCAGAAGCAGATCTGCCGCGTGGTTCTGGATCACTTCGAGCAGCAGTACACGGCAGAGCTGGGGGATGCATGGAGCAGTGTCAGGTCTGTGGCTTTCAGGACATGGAAGGAGGGGGAGAGTTAAGGAACTGAATTAGTAGTGACACGTATGGCAAAGGCTGTCACTAAATTTGGGTCTTGGTCACACAGCTGCTGAAGAGCTTCATTATTAAAAAACAAAAAGCATCAATGCATAGCATTAGTTTAATTGAGTCAACTTAAAAGCTCTTCGATTGGATCAATGTGTTTTTCTGCTTTAGGCAGTGAATACTCCTGAGGAGTATTTTTTTTTTTTTTTAGATTAAATGAAAAATTACTAATAGGAATTCAAACAGAAAGGGGGAAATCCATATAAGAGCAAACTGAAATACAAACAAGCACTTTTCTATCACATACCACTGCTGTCTTCCAAAAATGTCTGTTAATTTAAGTTTTACTGGCCAAGTGTTTGCAGAACATAAAATGTAAAAAAGAACACTTGTAAAAACGGCATTTTAGTATTGGCTGGAATGAACATTGTAAAGCCAATGTGTGTGTGATTATTTTTGTTGTTTACAGCTAATAATACAGTTATTCTTTGTCCCCAGGGAAATACTTTATAGTCAGGAAAACCATTATGCTTCATTGTTTATATCTCCTACATAAAGTAAGCAAAATGGAGAATGTCTTGTTTCAGAAGAAATTGGTATTTTAAATGCAATAATTAAAAAAAAAACCAAAAAAACCAATAGCTTGATTTCCTATTAAAATTATTTTCCTGCATACTTTTTCTAACCAAAATGATCAATTTCTGATTACACCAGAATTATCCAGTTGTAAGTAAAAGCTTCCTACACTGTTTTATTTGGTGGATTATTGAATGGCTTTTCCTTTTTTCACCCTAGAGACGTGCTGACCTCGCCGTGGTGCTGGCAGCATGCTGTGCTGCTGAACAGGTCTGTTCACAGAAACACAATTCAGTTTGCAGAATTTTTAAAAGTCTAATAATAAGGAAGGACAATATTTCTAGCACTGGGGTGTTCCTGACCAACAGCCAAAGAATACCTCTGTGTATACAAACAGTGTTATCTTTATGCTGTTACATCACTGAGGTACATGCATAGTCATCTGTTTCATATATTATTCAAACATTCTTGCTAATTTTCTGATGTTTTGGGAACTCCTTTGTTAGACTTCTTCACACACTGGCTTATCTGCATGACATGCTGTGTGTCAGGTTAATATCTTTTATTTCTTCTTGTGTCTCTTATCATGCTGTTTCACATCCTCTGATAAGGATTTAGTGTGTCCTTCTTAAATTTAGCATGGTATTCTCTAATGGTGCTCTGGTTTGTTGTCAGGGTTATCTTACCACTTGGACAGGTTGGTCAGTGGATAGCCTTGCACTGGTTTTAGTTACACAAAAGCCTCTTTCACATCTTCTGTTTTGTTGAGGTCTGTAATACAATACACTCGTCACACTGTTGTTTCCATAAGTGACACGTAGATATTCTATTCATTACACTTCCATTTCTATGAGCAGCACAGTGCAGACTTAAGCTGATAGATTCTGTTACATTAACAAGCAGCTGAAAAGAGTTACCATTGATACTATTTCTAGATCCTTGTCATCACTAACAACATGTATAAACTAATACATAAATGAGAAAGCCAACATTATCTGGTCATTTTTCACAGGTTCAGCCAGAGCCCCGGCCTGGAGAGCAGCCTGGCTGAGCAGGGATACCATCCTGCCTTCCCAGCAGCCCTGCCCTACCTCCCAGCAGCCTTCAGGTGTTACACCAGGACAGCTCCTGGCAGATTCCCTGCACAGAAACACCAGCCTGGCAGGCTGAAGGAGTATTACCTGCTCAATGCTGCCTCGCTGCTGCCCGTGCTGGCCTTGGAGGTGAAGGATGGGGAAGGTGTTCTGGATCTCTGTGCTGCACCAGGGGGCAAATCTGTAGCTATCCTGCAGTGTGCCTGTCCAGGTAATGGAGCCAGGTGCTGGTGGAGGGAAGAAAACCAAACAGCAGTTGGTATTCCACCTAGTTCTGTGCTGTTTAATCAGGATTTTGTGAAACCTGTTTGCCTAAAAGAGGATGAAAAATGCAGTCCTTGCTTTAAGGTAGATTACCACAGAGTGACAGGCAAAAGTGGGGTAGCTTTGTGGATTTTTTCTCAACTATTACTGAAGTAATTAGTTCAGTATTACTCAACTATTACTTCAGTAATAGTTGACAAAAAATCCAGAAGTTTTTGAAGTTACTTGAAGCCATATCAGTTTGTTGGCACAGGAATGTAAGTAATCTGCAGTCTTATTCTTGTCCCTTTTTACTTTTTTGTTTTTCCTTCTCCTCTGTTGCCTCTTTCTTCAGCACTGTGCAAGTATTACAGGTAAATTTAAGTGTGCTGATGGAAAGCAGAGCATAAGGAATGAAATGTGCAAGATCTGGGCAAAGAGAGAAGGTTTATGGTAAGGAATTGGTTGGAGGAGGATTCTGAGATGATCAGAGTGTTTAGAAAGCAGCAGCAAGCAAAGCAGCAGCTTGGCCCAAGGAGTTGAAGCAGGCTGGGATTGCTGTTTCCCTGTTTATTTGCTGGCTTGGGTAATAATTGTTTCAAACTGTTCACAGTACCTTGTGCTCCTGCTGATGAGACCATTGCTATAACCACCCGCACCAGGTGATTACAGCTGGTTTCCCTCCCCCTTCTAGAGGAATGGGGTGATGCTAATGAAGTAAATTAAATAGGAGTTGGCCTTTCAGAAGGTTTAGAGAAAAAAAACCCCAGTGCTTTACCCTCTGTCTACTTCTGAAGAGACCAAACTGTTGCTGAATGGGAGATGTGAAGAATTTAATTCTTAATATACTTCAGGGAATGCTAAGATGTACCTTAAGATACACAAAATTAATGCTTCATTTATTTAAAAGGCAATTTAATTATGTGGGGCTTGCACTTTATTTAGATGGTGGCTCAAGGAGCCCAGGAAGGCACTCACTCTTTGGATGTGGGTCATGATTAAAGTTTGTTTTACTGTGGAAGTCTATTGCTACAGAAGGATTTCCTAGGAAATACTTAGGGTTTGCTCTGTAGGAGTATGTTGAGATTTATTTAGGTTTATAAAAATTCAGTAGTGTTCTAAAATACCATAACACAGGCACATGAGGTGTAAACTCCATGGTAGTCATGGCAATGAAGTAAAACTTCCAAAATAGGTCTAACTCCTTATATTTGTGAAAACAAAACTGAAAAAAAAATATAGAGTGACTTTTCTTTGGGGGTTTACTTCTCTTTGTTTGTTTTTTCCTTAATTTTCTAAGGTTATTTTCACTGTAATGAATATGATGATTTGAGGTCAAGATGGTTGGAGCAGACAATAGAATCCTTCATCCCAGATCCTTTCATTAACTTGATAACAGTCTCTAAACTGGATGGTAGACAGATTGGAGATCTTCAGCCTGAATTTTATGACAAGGTAACATTGTTATTGGCAAATTATATTTCTGCATTCTGATTCTTCTTCTTCCTATGCTGCTGTCTTTTTAATTTTTTTTTTTTCCCAGCCCCCCACAAAAATACCTGACCTATCAAAGGGACTAAAGTCATGTACAGGATTTGTAGAGCCTCAGGAAACACTTTATGAAGGTTGTTGTGCATTTATTCCTGTGTTGGATGATGTTGGGAGTGAATTCTGAAGACCTTGTAGCTGTAATCTTTGCATGATGTGTAATTAGGAAGGGGAGGTGAACAAGAGGGAGCTCCTCAGGTAGATTGTGCTTTCAGAGCACTAATTTTATCTCCCCAACAGTTAAACCCCTAAAAAACATTTAAAAATAGTAATGGGATCACTTCACCCCCAAAATGGAAAATAAAAGTTTCCTAATACTTCCAAAAGAAAATCAAATATATTTTTGCCCATGGTGTTCAAAAACTGGCCATCTTTGTTGAGATTTTTTAAATTTTATTAATTGTTTAGGTCCTGGTTGATGCTCCTTGTTCAAATGACAGAAGCTGGCTCTTCTCTGCTGACCCTCAGCAAGCTGTGCTCAGGCTCATGCAAAGGAAGGAGTTGTCCTCCCTGCAATTCCAGCTTCTAAGGTGAGAAGTGCAAAAAGTTAAAGAAACTTCCTGTAATTGATAAAAATTACACGGGGGTAAGATGTAATAAACCAACCCAGGATTCCTGCTCTGGAAATAATGTCAGGAATTTGTGGTTGGGATGCTGTTTAGAATATCCAGTGGGTCTGAGATAATAATGAGGATGTGGAAATATCTGTGGGTGATATCAGCAGTGGGGCTTTGGTCCTCTTAACTCACTTATTCACAGGAATGTCTATTTGCACATGATTCACTACAGTCTGGTGTAAAATCAAAAGATTCTAGGTGGACACAGCTCAAATGGGTTTAGATATATTCCATATTGATGGTTTGTAGCACAGAAAGCTCCCAGTCCTAACTGGTAAAAAAGTGAAAGAATGTGAGGTTTGGTGGGGGAAAGGGAGGACTGTGTATTTTTGAGAACATGCCCCCAGTAACCCAAAGCCAGGCTGTCATGTATTACACACCTTAATGCTACCAGCTATGGGCTGGCATTTGTGAAGCATTTCAAACTGCACAGTTTTTCTCATGGGGGAAAAAAAAAAAAAGAGTGACTTTTCAATAAAACCTTCTGAAATAAAACCTTGAATGTTATTTGTGGAGTAACAGTCATGCCTGAAGTCCATCTGTCAAAGCTAATTGAGGGGAAAATAACATATTATAAGAAAAAAAAGAAAAGTTTTTATGGAAAGTTCCCATTGCAGTTCAAGATAGTTTAGCAAGACTTCCAGTTGAAAAAGGCCTGGCAGAAGCCTGTGATTTATAACAGAAATATGAGGATCTTATTGCAGTAATGCATCATGTCATCCATTTCCTTTGAAGAAATCAATCACATTTAAAACACTGACCTGTTCCAGTTTCCCCTTTTCAATATCTGACATGGAAAATCCAATTTGTGAACCCATAGCAAAAGGAAGCATACATCATGCAGAGAAATTTTGAGAATTTGCATAAATCATTCCACATTGTAATCCTGGAGAACTCATGACAGCAGAAACCTTGTTTAAAAAAAAAATACACTCCTGTCAGCCCAAATCAGATTTAATTGAATTATTCCTAAATAGAGGGAGAACTCTATGTTGAAAATGTTCTTTAGTTTAGCAACAGTAATAAGAATTTGTAAAGACAAAATGCCTTTGCTGTATAAATTAGTGAAATACCTTTGCTATGTAAATTGTAGTAAAAGGATGGTTACTTTCAAGAGTTAGAGTTTATAAGGGTTATTGGATAAAAGGATTATTGGTAAAGGATATAAGGGTAAAATATTTGAAGGATAGCTGTCTACTGGGTGGTTATTGTTCAATTCACATGATCACTTTAGAATGAATTCCCAGTTCTAAAGACATCTCAGATGCCACATGAAAGGGGAAGAATGAAATGATAAAGCAAGATCAGAAAAGGCTGAATGGGTTGTGACACGTGCATTAGAACTAAAATTCTGGAATGCTTCCCTGTTGAAGCCTCTGTTTAATGACTAGAGTGCATAATTATAAATAAAAAGTTGAGTTTGAATCCTTGAATCCCTTCTCCAGTACGCTGTACAATATTTAGGAGGGCTGAGCCTCCATGAATACTACTGTAAAAAAAAAAAAAAAGCTGTACTGCTTTTTACACGAGCCAGCTCCTGCAGGGCTCTCTCTGGTTCATTGATTCAGGTTACCTGGTGCTTGATGCTCCCAGGTGTTCCTGACCTTGGTTCCTATGTCTGTAACCAAAAACAAGTGTAAGGCTGGATCCCAGCAGTTTTATTGAGAATAATGTAAGAAATACATTGTAAGAGAGGCAGGACAAGGGGAATGGCTTCAAACTGAGAGGGGGTGGGTTTAGATAGGACAGCAGGAAAAATTCCTTACTGTCAGAGAGCTGAGGCCCTGGCACAGGGTGCCCAGAGAAGCTGTGGCTGCCCCTGGATCCCTGGGAGTGTCCAAGGCCAGGCTGGACAGGGCTTGGAGCAATTTGGGACAGTTTGGGGATTGAATTGGAAATGGATGATCTTTAGGTCCCTTCCAACCCCAGCCATCCTGTGATTTGAAAGTGAAGATTGAGGGACCAAGCATTATTTCAGTTTAGCAGGAGGATTAAGTGTAACACAAAAATGAGAAGAATGAAATGCAAAGTGGAGTTCTATTTTTATTTCTGTCAAGCAACAGCCTAAAATTTGAGATTCCCTCCTTCTTAATGAAGGAAATGCTTCACCTCTAATTTGTTCTTATGGATCTGTTTCTGAGGAAGCTGGGGTCATCAAGGAGGGAAGTTAAGGAAGGAAAAATACAATTTAATTAATTAAGTACTTAGAGGCTTCAGAGAATGAAGATCTGGAAGAAGCTGATGCAACAATTTTCTTCCTGCAGCCTGCATAAAATCTGAAATGTAAATAAGTGGTATAAATGCTGAACAGCAAATGTTCTAAGCAATGAGGGCACCACTGATGTGAAGGAAATTGAGATAGTAATGATTGCTCATACCCAAACCAAAGCATCCCTGCTGAGTGCTCTAATCCAAGAACACACTGCAAATCTTGTTAGTATTTGGAATGTTCATGCAGAAAACAAATTGCAAAGTTGAAAAAAAAGAAATATTCACTTCCTGGTGCTAAATGCTAACACAAAATACAGTGTTCATAAAAGCAAATTTACCAATGTTATCAGTTCTCAGAGAGAAATTAAATTTTGGGCTAAGCTTGAATGCCCAATTACGTAGTGGTTAAACTGTTATGGATGTTGTAATTATTCTTAGACTGGTTTCTGCAGCTGAAAGGAACTTGTGTTAGGGCTCAGCAGAAAAGAAATCCAACAGAACACAATTTAGAATACTCAGCAAAGGCATTCAGACTGCTGGAACTCTTCTATACACAGCATCTCTCAGTAATTAAACAGCTCTGTATTCTCACTGAATTGTGGAGTTTTCCACAGGAGGGGAATTGTGTGCTCTTAGCTGGGCTTTTTTGTGGTTATAGAGTGAATGCAGAATTGTGTTTATAAAGTCATATATTTAGCATCTGTCACCACTGTACCATTTCTGCTGTGTGGAGTAAATTGTGCTGGGAATTGCTTCATCACATCTCCAGCTCTTTCCCCTGGAATTTTTCCTTCTGCTCCTTTGTAGCTGCCCAGTTAATCCTTTTATTGTCTAAAACCATCTTCTCAATTAGCTCCATTGGGAATTTTTGAGAATTCCAGCTGTTGGACCAACAAATCTGCTGTGGGTTGTGTGGATGATAGGATTCTTTAGCCACTTTCTGTCTTACAAAAGCTGAATATTTTGTGTGTGTTTGTGGTGTGCCATTCCCCAAAACACTTTTGGTTGGGTTGCTGGAAGTTTTACTTGGTTGCTTGGAATTTCTTCACAAAGAGTGAGTGCTGTGGCCACTGCTGTGGCTCCAGGTATTCCATCATGTTTAATCTTAAAATAATTGGTTTCTGATTTTAAGTGTGGCAGCACCCTGTGTATAACTTATGGATCAAGTCTCTCAGGACATGTTGCAAAGCCAGGTTTATTGAATATATAAACAACTGTATGACTGAACAAATAAGCTACTCAGCAGCTTTTTGGGATCACATATTTGAATTTGGGCACAAATTTTGCTTCAATTCCACCTCCAGTTCTTTCTCTGTGTGTTTTGTGAGCTGTGAGGATAACCACTAACCCTAAAGTTCTCTTTAATGGGCTTCAGAGGTCTTTAATTCTCCCTCCTGGGCTGTCTCATATCCCTGTTTGAACAGGATGAATATTCCAGATGTCACCATGCATTAAAGGAGAAAGATCAATAATTCTAGCTGGTTTTCTTTGTCTTTGCTTTAGAATAATTCAGAATTATTTGCAATAGAAATGTTGCTTATCAGGATTTTCAGGACAAATTTTGTCTAGGGTAGAACAGACTGGGTTTGGTTGAGGAGGTTTTGATGCCTGTATCTCCTTTTATTTACAATTCAATTTAATGTTGAAAAAGGCAGCTGATTTTCATGATTCTCTTGTTCTTCTGAGCTGCAGTGTTTCTATTTAGGAGCAAAGTTTATTTAGAGAGGAGCAGAAGGAGTGCTTGAACAACTGTCACTGCCCATCACAAAGTATTAAAAAAAATTGGTATTTTGACACTGAAGGATTTCCTTTGTCATTTTGTCCAGGTTCAAAGAAATAAAAGGAAAGCCTTTAACATGCAGGTCATACTGCCACAAAGTATCTGGACTCTTGTGAGAGGCAAAAGGTAATGTGGATATTTTAAGTAAACAAAAATAATAGAATTGGCACTTTTTATTCTGATGAGACATTATCTTGCCTATTGAGCAGGAATACATAGTAGTTGCCAAAAGATGGCACTGTTGAAGTGTTGTGTTAGTTTAAAATTGCCCTGAAATTGTCATCTTTTCACTTTAATACAGCAAATGGTCGAATTATTAACATAATTAATGCTGCCCCTTCCCATGGCATGCAGCATAAACCCACGTGTCAGAGGACAGGCTGGACGTGCAGGTGCTACCTATAGTGTGAAATATATATTTTTGGGTCTGTCCAATTTTAAAAGGATATTTGAGACACCTAGACTTTTCTCTGTCAGTGGGAAAAAGTCCTTTTTAAGTCCTGGCTAACTACATTTTAGTTGAATGGAAGAGTTTTTTGGGTTTGCCATGTGGCTTTAGCATGATAATATTTTTTTCACTTGAGATACTAAACAGCGATGCTGTTTTGTTTTCCCTGATTTAGTAAATCTTGAGAAATAAGCTAAAAAAAAAGAAAGAGCTTTGAAATAATGTATTTCTTTCCAAAGTCTTTTTGGTACTCCTGTAATACAGGGAGTTAGGATAGATTTAATACATCTGTTGTACCTCTGACTTCCACAGTACAATATGAACCTGTACCCAGAGACACACCCTGCAAAAATATAAAATACTTTTTACTTGTTTTTTGATAGGGTTGTAAATTCTCATTTAGAAAGAGGAGGGGAGTAATCTGCATATGTCAATTTGTTTTACAGAACTTGTGGAATGAGATGGACAGACAAAGGCTCCAGAAAAAGTTTCCAGGGTCCTTAATGTGTGTTCTGATGTTTCTTCATGTGAAGCATAAAACCTTGCAGTAGTAGTGCCTGTAAGCTTGTAAAATTCATTACAGGAAATATATGTATCTGAAATAGAATTAGGATATTAACTAGATGTTTATATCAGCTGAAAGTTTTAGCTCTTTAATAAACAAAGGTAATGTGTGCCACCAAGAGAAAAAGAACTGCAGATTAACTGCTTGTAAATAATTTGAGGGGTTTTTTAAACACTGTAATAAGAGGAAGGTGAAAAAATATTTTGGCATCTTAATCATTCTAGATTTGACTTTCTGTTTTTAGGAGTCACAGAGTTACAGGCATTGAATTCCTTCAGCTAAGAGTTGATAATTAAAATTCCCAATAAAATAATCTTAGTTCCTAGATAGTGGGGTTACAGTAGGACTAAGTTGTGCTTCATCTCCAGCCTAGTGCTTGGATGAGCTTGTTTCCCTTCAGTGGTTAGAGAGGAAGTTGGTTAAATATATGTTAAAAAATTCCCTGATGATCAAATCCTGTCCTGAATGAATTCTCTGTGCTGGTGATGAGGAGGGGACCAAAGTGCCTGGCTCTGCTGGCCCAGCTCAGTGTCACCCCGTGTGACTTTGAGCCCAGCACTTCCTCACGTGGAATTTTGCAGCTCCCTGCAGGTTTATCAGAAGCCAGGCATGGCTTAATCAGAGCTGGGGGCATTGACTTTGAGCTCAGACACTGAAACAACTGTTGCTGCACTTGACAAGATGGATAGATACATTGATTAACCTTGCTGCCTGAAGTAATTCTCCTCAGGTATTTTAATTCCTGCTGCAGGTTCAGAATAAAGAGAGCTGCACTGAGCAGGCTGACCTTTTTGGGTCACGGGCCAGTGGAGACTCACAAGTTAAGGTTTAGGCACAAGGGGGTTTTGAGGTGAGATTTTCAAGTTTCCCTTCAGAGGCTTGTGCTGCTCTTTCCTCTGATGGAGGAGCATGGTGCCCTTGAAAATGTTGTCTTGATGGGTTCTTGCTTTCCATATGGGAAGAAAAAGACATTTAGCAAGTGTCCAGGCATTTAGCCTTATAACCTGTAGCTACATCTACTTTTTTATGTTTTACCTTTCCCACTTTTACATGGTAAAAGAATTTTCTCTCTTGTCTAAATGCTGTCTTAGAGGAAGGAAAGTTGTTGCCATTATCTGCTTCTCTGAGTAAAATTCTCAGGATTGCTAAAAGTACATCTCAATTGTCACATTAAAAGGTTCCCAAGCTTACTGGCTGCCCTCAGGGCTTGGCACTCCTGCATGCATGGAAAAGGTGTAGCTGGCAGGGGAAAGTCTGTCAAAAATGAGTTATGTGGGTGGATTCTAATAATAATCTGAAGATCAGCTCGACTTCATGAGAGCCCATTTAGACTTCAGCTCTGTTCTCTTTGAGTTCTCATGTGAAAGGTAAAAAGCAAAATCCAATACGTGGGGGGGAGAAAAAGTGATTTTTAATTTCCCCAAATGGGAGTGAGGCCAAGAGATGGTGCATCAGGCTTTCTTGCTGGTTTGGTGTCCATGAGAAGGCAAGGCTGCACATCCCTGCTTTGTTTGAATTTTCAAGTTAAGTCCATATATGTGTGTGCACTGTGGTTATTAGTACATACTTGGCTTGCTGGTTACCATAACCAAAACTCATAAAAGAATTGAGCAAGGTCATGTGTATGCTCCCAAGAGAAATAGGTTTGGTATCATTCTCAGGAGTTTTCACTTGGTCTCATCATTGTCTGAAGCAGTGTCCTGGTGTTCCCTTATTATTTTGGACAGGACTTTCAGAGCAGCTTTGAAAGCTGTGATCAGCTTTGATCCTCCTCGTGCTGAAGCTTGTATTTATTGATTATTTTCCCAGAAGTTTCAGTTTTGTTAAAAGGGCTTATCTTTCCCCCGCTTGTATTTTCTTCTTTCCTTTCTTAATTGTTTTTGGTCAGCTGTCACCCTTGGGAAGTCCTCAGCTTGTTTCTGGAGGAATTGCTATTTCCATGGCATTGTCTTTGTTCATCTAGACCTGGAATCAGACTTGCTGCATTTGGGGGCTGCTCATCTCATCTGGTTTGAGGAGATGGTTGTTTCTTTTCTTCATTTTATTTGTCCCAGGATATTTTTTTTCCCTGGGGTGTGGGCACAGTTTTGTCAGCAATATCTACAGGTCTCTGATTATTCAGTGTCATTTACACCATTCACCTGTTCTGGTTTTCTTGGTATTAAATAAAAGAAATCTTAGCGATTTAAATAAAAGCAATCTTAGGGAACAATTGTATATAATGTGGTATTTTCCTGTAGTATCTGTTTGTATATCAGCTTACAATTCAGTCTTCGAGCCAAAAATGGCTCAAAAATGTATGATTTCGTGGGATTTATCTTCAGACATTGTTTTAATAGGAAATGAACCTTTTGTGTAGCTTCCTCTTTTAGAAATGTGGTGGTACCACGTTTGAAGAATACTTCTGTGATGCAAGATTTTTGAGTTTTCTCCTTACTCTTTTAATTTGGAGTAGGTGAATACAACTTACATAGCTCATTTCTATACTCATAAGTTGTATTGCATATGTGTGAGTAAGAACTTGGCAGATCTGCTGTAGTGGGAAATAAGCAGTTTATGTAAATTCACTTGCAGTGGTAAAGTGATAAGAGCCTCTGTTCTCTCCCCCCAACAGTAGCTGTGAAGCTTTCAGGCTTTAAGCCACTATTTTACCTTTGTTTAGTCAAAATTTGTCAGCAGGTTAATAAGTGAAGGGCACTTATAAAGAAACAATAAATGATCCCTAAAAAAAGAGGTTGAAAAGCAGTGGCTCAGTGACACCCCCAAATCCTCTTACCTGCTAAATGAGTTGGAGAATTAGCAGGAGAGTTTCTAAAATTACAGCCCAGTCATTAATTCAGGCTGTTACTGCAGGTTCACACAAGCATCTTGCCAAGTGTCTGACAGGCCCTTTTGATGTGGGGTTACCCATTCTGTGTGCAATTGCAGCATTTTCACAGCAGTGCTGAGCTCAGGAATGCTTGATGTGTATTCTGAATGGAAGCTGCTTTGTACTTGTCACTGTGGTGTAAAAAATACCTTCAGCTAACTGAGAATGCAATAATAAATGAAAAGCAAAATTGTGTTGTGGGTGGTTTCCTGAACTTAAAGTTAAGACATTTTTGTAATGTTATTTTTGTCATATTTATTTATGCTTTGGATTTATAAGCCTACACATTCTCCCACTAGCAGTATGTCACTTTTGATGTTGATTTTTTCCCCTTTTTCCTGTTGTTCTCTGCAGGTCTGCTGTTCAAGCCCTGCGTCCTGGTGGCTCCTTGGTCTATTCCACGTGCACCCTCTCCAGGGCAGAAAACACTGATGTGATCAATCTCATCCTGAACTCCTGCAGGAATGTGATGCCTGTGGATCTAAGTGGGATGGCCAGAGTTGTTTCCCAAGAATTCACTCTCCTAAGTGGAATGCAGCAGCATGAACTGCTGGTTCTCCCAGAGAAAGGGAGAGCTTGGGGTCCCATGTATGTGGCTAAATTGAAGAAAGTGTCCTCCACCTGATGCCTGTTGGTTATGAGCAGTATATGATAAATTAATATTGATTTAAATACAGCATGTGTGTGTGAACACATCCAAGGCAACTGATTTTAGAGTGCTGCAGTTTCCTGATCAAAAGGAAGCAAGACATTTCACTTATTTTAACTTAAAATGCTGAATGTGCCTTCCAGCGTGGGCTTGTGAGCCTCTGAGTCCTTAGGAAGTTGGTATTGTTTTCAAGGTGGTGCTTTTAAAGGGATTTGGATTCTAGAATAGAGGCTTAATGTAGAGTTTTGCACTGGATAAATAACCAAATTATTTACTAACTTGCTTTTAATACAGTATGTTTTTAAATAATTTTGCACTTGATAAATAACCAGGTTATTTACTAACTTGCTTTTAATACAGTATGTTTTTAAATAAATGGTTTTCAGTGGTCTGAAGTCATGGAAATCCTGCATTCTCTCTAAACACATCTGGAAATCTGTGTTTCTGCAAGAACTGATTTGTATGGACAGTGTCATCTTCAAGCACTGGCAGAACAGGTTTCATATTTGCTAAGTTGTTTGCTTAAAAAACAAAGGTGTCTTTTCTTTACAGATAAAAAGGTCGGCAGTTAGATCAACACCATTTTTTTTTTTTAATTTATTAATATTCTTCTATTTTGAGCTTGCAAAAATACAAATTGAAAGAGCACATATATTCCAGCCTGTGCTTGTCTTGAAGCAGAGTGGAACCCTTTCATCCCCAAGGGTCCTTTCCCAGATGGAAGGTGATAATCACTGGTTTTAAAAACATTGTTTTAAAGAACAGAGGTAGAAGAGTTGCTCATGTGGAAATGGGGGTGTGTGACATTGTACATTTATTAATTTCACAGAATGGTTTGGGTTGGAAGGGACCTTAAAGATTATCAAGTTCCAGCTTCCTTGCTGTGGAAGGGACACCTTCCACTAGACCAGGTTGCAAAGTCCCATCCAACCTTAAATTAAACACCTCCAGGGACGGGGCATCCACACCTTTTTTGGGCAGCCTTTTCCAGTGTGTCATTGCCCTCACTGTAAAAAATTTCTTTTTAATATCAAATCCAAATCTGCCTTCCTTCAGTTTGCAAACACTTAGCATATTTTATGTGTATATCACACAGTTTGCCCTCAGAACACTGCTGTGCCTTCTGCTGAGGCAAACAAATGCATCTGAGGTTCTGAAACGTCACCCTTTGCTGTGTGAGCTTTCACAGGTGGCCTTTCCCCTGCTTTGGGATGAAAAATGTTTGAGGTAGTCCTGCAGTGTTAAATTGTCAGCAGTGTCTCTGAAAACTTGAGAGGCTGCAAAGTTGATGCAATTTGAGTATGCAGAGGATACTGTGAAAAGGCCTGACAGCATCTATCCCAGGAACATTGAATGTAATAGCCAGATTTGAAGTCATGTCAGGCTGCTGGGTGAAATAACCATACCTTTGGCAAAATGCTTCCCATCACTTTCATTTGCCCTGTGGAAATGGAAATGAAAAGGCAAGAATGTAACCTGCTCAGGGATGGAATTGAAATATGTGCTTGATGGTTGAGGAGGACGTGGGCTGGGTAATCACAGGAAGAACAAAGAGACCCTTGAAAGCTGAACTCAGTCTCAGCAGATGGGCAAATCCCTGTGAGCTGTTTTAGACCTGAACCCTGCAGCAAGGTGTGCACTGAGTTGTGTCTGCATAACCCTTTGCTGATCTCCTGGAGTCCCTTTCCAGTCCCAACCAGTCTAAGAATGCACCAACAAGAGAGGTAAAAACAAGGCTAATTAATCGGTGACACTTATTTTTGGTTGTACTTGATTAATTTTGGTTTATACTCTGTTCCAGATTGCTGTGGAGTTGTTTTTTTAGTTCTGTTCTAATCAGTTCTGGCTGGTGACAGGAATTTGTTGAGCACATGTGGAGTGAGAAGGGAAAAGCAGAAAGGATGGAGGTAGGCCTGTAGAGGTGAGGGGCAACATTTGCACATGTTGGCAAGTACTGTCCACTCAAAGGCACTTCTTGAAAAGGCTTCTTGTCCATTCAGGTATCTCTTGGATACTTCTGCTCCCCTTCATTACAAAGCTGCAACATTTTTCCTTTTTACACCTTTTTTTTTTCAGCTAGGTAATTGTAATTTAATTCCTTGCCATGTCCTTCCTCCTCTTTCCTGAACAATGCTGACTTGTTTTGCACCCCTTCTATCATAGAAGAAATTGCAACCCCAAGAAAGTTGAGGGCAGGAAAATGACCAATTTTGTTGGATTGGGGAGTCCCAGAGAAATCTTCATGATCTCCAGTGAAACTGCCCACAGTTGTATGTGTAGCACACACCAGTGCCAGCACCTCAGAGGCAACAGAGAGCTCTGGAGTTCAGCTGCTCTCATGCTTTTCTGCCATTCCTTTTCCAGCATCCAGAAAGTCACTTCCCTGTTTCAGGAGGGTTGGCACAATAAGAAATTGGAAAGCCTTATCTAAAGGCAATTCCAGTATTTACCAAATTTTATTCTTTATTCAGTGGCATCTGACACAGTTCAATTATGGCTTGTCAAAAGCATTCTCCACTGTGGAGTGGAGTGGAAAAACAGATTACACAATGTGTGTGTGCTGATGCAGCTGACCAGGGGACTAATGAACTCTTGGCTGTCTCAGTAAGGTGTGGGAAGAGAAGGTTGAAGGAGGGGAAGAATGAAAAGATCAGGACTACAGCAGTGGGAGAAAAATGTGAGATACTGTGGCTTTTAGCATGGAAGAGCAGCAGTGGCTGCAGCCTGTTCAGGAAGAGCTCCGTGAATACAGAGGATATTTTTTTCCCCTGGGGTGTGGGGGGTGTGTGAGCACAGTTTTGTCAGTAATATCTACAAGTCTTTGATTATTCAGTGTCATTTACATCATTCACCTGTTCTGGTTTTCTTGGTATTAAATAAATCTGGGGGAGCGTGGTGGGAGAGCCACAGGTGCCTGTACTGGGCTGGGAGGATCCCCTCACTTAATTTAACTGTCTTAGAAGGAGAATTGAGGACATCAATCATGAAAACTGCAGTGGGATTGCTTTAAATTTGCAGGGTCTTTAACTTAGCTAGAAGCATTTAAATCAAATGTGCCTACCTGCTTCTTGCCAAACAAATGGCTGTATTGGTTGATACTCCTATCAGAAAAGTTTCTTTGATGAGTGGGGGAAAAATTTGAGACTCAGGCCTGGCTGCAGTAGAATTTGGCTCACTTCTAAGCTGATGTAACTTTATGCAGTATTGGCTATAAATGAGATTCTTTGTTCTGGGGGAAACTGGAAGAGCACATGCTGGTGATCTCAACTTCCAGGGAAAAGTGAAATTTGGAGTTCTCTGTTTGCCAAACCTGGCTCAGAGCACACACAGGGCACACAGTCACTGGTCACAGCTCTTAGATGTCACCCCACCACGTGATTCCTGACTAAAGACTGGTGTTTATCACTTGTCAGAAAATGTTTTCCTTGTCTGATCTTCCTGTATGCGTCCTATGACTTGAGGTCAAGGTCTTCTGACCTTGGAAGTTTTAATTTTCTCTGTAGTTTTACATAGTTTTCAGCTGGGTCAAGCATCATGCACCTTCCACAGCTCTGTCTCAAAAATGTTTTGTGTGCCACCAAAACAAAATGCCTGGATCAAAAAGTCACAGCTGCTCTTGAGAGGGAGAGGTGGAACATAAACCTGGGTTAGTTTTTTGTACTCCGCAGAGGAATTTCTGCTCCCTATAGCTGTGTCCAAGGGGGTTCTTCCCATCAATGTTTTCTGCTGTTTCTCTCTGAGATGGTCACCATGATGTTGTGGTGATGTGACCCTTCGTGGGCTCAGAGGAAAAAGAAATGGATCTGCTGCCCTAAACCCTAAACAGGTAATAATCCTATAGTGAGAGGTGCCACAAGTAGAACTATTTTTTTAAAGATGATAAAGGCACTAGGAGGCAGCACAGCAATCCAAATTTGAATGGAGCCAGCACTTCAGCTGACCAGCTGAGCAGTGACATTCTCACCTTGTTCTTTCCAAAATGATGCTTCCCTGACATGAGGCTTTCATCTTCAAGGACCACAAGCATTTGGCCTGACCTCACCTCTGACAAGGTAAATCAAATAAAGCAGTCAAAACAGACAAGGGGCTTGTTTGCATGCAGTGTCAGAGCAGATCTTGCAGCCATCCACAAGAGATTTGGGTGGATGTTGCTGTGTCTGAGTCCCCTGTGCGGCTCTGGGGTAATTCTTGTACAGCAGCTCTGTGTTGGGGATGGGTCCTGACATGATTCCTGCTGATTCTTCCCCTGTCTCCAGTAAATTCCTTCGCTGCTGGGGAGATCTTTAGAGTCACATGTCTTCAGTGAGAATCTGGGAATGGCTTTCAAACCACCTTTTGATGTCATTTGGCAAAGCTTCTGTCTCAGAATAGGTGTTGTTGTAACACCTTAACCTGCTCGAGGTCCCTTGATCTGAGGGTGCCTCAAAACGTAGCACATCTTTTAGATCTACTTCTTCCTCCTTAATGTACTGGGCCCTTATTGAACATCCTATCTTAAAAAATAGAGGAGACTGGGTGCTCCCTACCCTAAACAAAACAGGGTAAAGCCCAGAAGTGTGATGAGGCAGTAGGAGAAGGTGGGAGAGGAGCCCAGGGATTTCAGCTTTATTGAGAACCATCCCACCACTAATAAATGAGCAGCTCCTCCTGCCTGCATTTGGATGTGGTGGGGCATGAAAAGCAGGGAAAAACGTCACTGATAAAGTTCTTGAAAAGTATTTTCTAATTGTGCCAAAGTGGAATAAAATGCTAAGGGCAAATTCAGAGCAAAATATATATATATTCTTTTTAGGAGGGTATTCTTCTATGTTGATTTACTCTAGGAAAAAAACTGTCTTGTCTGAATGTGTGATTAAGTAGCTGATGGAATAATTTTTTACAGGGAGGAGAACATGCCAGAACATTTGAGTGGTGTAAAACAGGGCTGCAGAGAGGATTAGAAAAGGTACAAGGAGGAGTGATTTTGTATTGGTAGTAGACTTAATAGCACTTTTTTATCTGTAATTTTTATGATTCTGTGGCTAACCAGGGAAATGTTTAATGTTCCTTGTACAGCAAGTGAAGGTAGAAGAAGGCAAATTGACATCCCCAGCACTGTTATAATTCATTCCATTACTTCAACAGGGCTTTTATATTGTCACGCCCATAAAGCGCCAGTGTGCACGCTCGGAGCCAATCCATCTTTATATACTGCTGCTGATCCCATTGAAGGCAATGGCAAAACTCCCATCAATTTTAATGGCCCTGGGATATGACCCATTTTGTAGATATACAATGGA